TGGTTATGAATTATTGTTTGTTGATGAATAATTCTTTTGAAGATATTTGGCTGGCTCAGTTGACTATGATATTGTTTATTTGTATGCTGAACTCTTTTGTGGAAATCTGCAGTGTCAATTTGATGGAGGAGATCAGGACCTTGGTCCGTCGTCACCCGGATAAACTCACTGTGGGTTATTTATGGAGTATCTGGATTGCCTATTGTGTGTGTCTCACTGTTCTAGAATTTGTAATTCATATCTTTGATGTTTCTAAATAGATGGAGACAATTAAAGCTGGAAACAAAGGCTACGGTGCTAAGGTTACGGTGGTTACTTATTGCAAGGAGAAGAAAGAGAATGATGAGAAGTCAAAGCTTCGGATTCTTCTTGTAAGTTTTCCACATTCATTTGTGTTAGTGACAGAACTTTCACGTGACAAGGCGTTTAATATTGCAGAAATTTGTATGAAAGCCCTAAAGGGAGAAAAAAATGATAATATGATTACAATTGGGTGTTGTTATAGGAGATAGCTATGATTTGGCATGTAGTGGATAGTTATCTCAAATTGGTTATTCTGGTGTTTTGACAGATGATTCCTTGTCTTCCAGAGTTTTGGGCAGCATGGAAGAGAGCTGATTACCACAGAACTTGCTTTAAGGATTTTGTCTATCTTAAGTGAAGAAAAATTTCTACCCAGCATGGACCAAGCTTCCTTAAATAGTGCACTTGACAATCTCGTCATAAAGGTTTGTTGAAATTTCTACCATAGTAGTAGTACCATAAGTGTCTGGTTATCGTGAAATCCATCTGGAGCTTGACTCTGATTATCAATTTGCTAGTAAAGTTTCAGAATAATTTATACGAAGTATTACAACTCTGTCTCTGTTGTTGCACACTTTATACTATGCAGGCATAAAGCAGTACAATTCAAGTTCTTCTGGTCAGAGTCATTATAATTTTTAGTTATCTTCCATCCATATATTGAAGTTTTAGACTTAGCAAGTACTTTTAGAAATTATGTCATTCCATATTATTTTTCCTCTTTATTATTTAATATGCTTGCATATTTGCATGCAAGGATTTTTACTACATCTTTAGTTGTATCTTGGAGTTGATTTATGAAGCACAAATCAAATGAGATTTTAGATGTATTCATAGTATAATACAAGTAAAAGGAGAGATTTTGTATCTTCTTAATGTTGATGGCTAATTATTTATCAGGTGGTTCCAATGGAAAACATGAATGGCCGCAAACTTGTTGAAGCTGGAGATCTCTGTGAGAGAAGAAATGGTCTTGTATTTCTCCTTTATAATCGTTAGTGTGATAATTGACTAGCTTTGAAAATGCCTGAGTTTGTGTTATGTATCAGGTAGAGGAGTTGACCTCAACCGGAATTGGAGCGTTGATTGGGGCAAAAAGGAGAAGGTTAATTTTGCATCTTCAATATCTCAGTTCATAACATAAGATATTGTTAATTAATGGTGCTTTTCCAGTGTCCATTATCGATTTGCACCTAGTAGATAGGTTGCGATAACGATAGTGTATGGCGTGGCATTCAAAGAGGCTCTTCTTGATTGTCTGCCTGTCAATCTATGCGCTGATTTCTTTCTTTTCGAGAAATATATCAAATGTTTTATATTTTTGAAGCATCTCTTTTTTCATTCTTATTATTCAAAATTCAATAGGATTATGATCCATATGAGGAGAATCCTGGTATTGCTCCATTTAGCGAGCCTGAAAGTCAAATTATGCGGAAACTAGCCATATCTTTTGAACCACATCTATGGGTCAATGTGCACTCTGGAATGGAGGTAAGTTTAGTTCATTTTTCACCTGTTTCTAAAAACAAAATAACTACCCTTAGATTTCTTATCCACATCTGGGCTGTATTTAGTATATGCTTATTATATAACCCAAGCGAGAATTATAATTAATAATTGAATTGTTGACCAGAATTCATACATGCTTTGATAGATTCTATTAGTATTATGCGTCAATTTCTTTCAAACATTATTTTATTTCATGGCTCAAATTTATAAATCTACTGATCCTAATTCTTATTTTAATGTTTGGGGAACCCTTGTGGCTTACAGACCACTACTTTCCACCACCAAACTGGGATCATTCATTTGCGATTTTGACAACCTAATGTACATTACAATTGCCCCTTTCTAAAGCTTGAGTTTTTCTCAAGAAATAACCAGTTTGAGTAACACGGTAACCTAGCTTTATAGGTACACAAAGCAAGTGTCTGGCTCAAAAAATGACAACTGAAATCCCTTTGACTTAATTCTGGTTCTGACTCTTTTTTTAATGTCTCACTCCCAACACGAGCTTCATATTTGATTCATCTAGGAAACCATGTGTACTAGTACTCTTGTACTACTCCTCGTCTTTAACAATCTATTTTTATTTTCTTGAAAACCTAATTCTCATGTTTTGAAGTATAAAGTTTCAATAAACTGGAATCAAGGTTAAGCTTAAGAGTAAGACTCCACCAGGATTTATCATATTTTTATGTAGCCGAAAGTTGTGATAGAAATTCTTGATACGTTATAGACGGTCCATTACTAACTGTTTTCTTCTGCCTTACCAAGGGCAGATCCATTTGTATCAATGTGGTTTACATGCCCCCACATTTAATACTAATATATTGTTGTCATTTAAGCCTCACTATCCTTAAACTTTTCCCTCATCATGTTAATTATTATCAGATTATATTATCTCATGTGAAAAGATAATGTCTTGCCCCCACTACCCAAATTTCTGGGCCTGTCATCAGCTCTTATTCTATTACTGTTCTGTATTTACTAGTTAGTACCATTGTTTTGGTTGGTATTATTGCTGCCTTTAAATTATTTGACGGTACACCTACTTTTATGGACAAATGTGTTAAAAGTACATTAATTGTAATTTGATCTACATGCTAAGGAACCATTCATATGTTGTCACTTCACACAACAATTTTCATTGTTCTTTCTCCTCCCCGCCCCCCTCTGCAGGCTCTTTTTATGCCTTATGATCATAAAAATACAACACCAGATGGACTGCCCTTGCAACGAATGAAATCATTGCTTGAAGAAGTAAACCATCTTCATTGCCAAGAGCGCTGCGTGATTGGGTCTGGAGGCGGTTCTGTAGGGTAAGCTGAATGTTATGTGGGAAAAAAATTGCACTGTTGTGTCCAAATTCCAGAACTGGTTCAATAGGGTTAGTTGATTTCTGGTATAAGTGGAATGGGTAAATGCTGCAAAAATGCTTCTTTGATTACATGTTTTCTTCTGCCGTCATCCCTGGTTCACAAGTGATGCCCATTTTACTGGATTTTATGACCAGAGGAGAAAATTGACCATTGCCATTTTCTGTGTCCATTTTGGTTTTGTTTTAAATGCACCATGAGATATATGGAACAAAACCAAGTATACATAAAAGATGGATAGAGATTTTCTTGCGCAAAAGTCAACACTATTACCTTAACTTATAGATTTATAAGCTGTATTCAAAAGGCACAAGTCTGGAATTGACCTCTTAGGGCCTCAAATATTCTATACCACTTTTGATAATTTGAAGTTGTAAGTGGGTAGCTTAGCACTGATTTTTTGGGTGCCGAAGTTTAAGAATGAAAACTGTAAATTTTGAAAGTACAAAATTTTTGAACTTGCTTATCCAGATATTTTGCACACGGGACAGCAACTGATTTCATGTATGACATTGTGGGGGTACCCATGGCTTTCACCTTTGAGGTTTGTCTGATGAACTTCCTTTTCTTTTTTTTTTTCTGCTGGACTTTTCACCTTTGAGATTAGGTGGTGTCCTTACGTCTTCTTGTATTGACTCGCAGATATATGGAGATGAAACAGCCTCATCAAGTGACTGTTTTAAAATGTTCAATCCCACTGACCTTGCTACCTACAATGTATGCTACTTTGACTCATCAACGATCACTCCATTAATTAAAGTGTTTTCTATTCTTTTACTTTCAAGAGTTTTTTTTGTTTTTTAAAATAAATAAATTAATAAATATTTTTAACTTATAATTAAAGTGAGGGAGAGAGAATGACCCTTTGCCCAACAATAAGGTTGTTGCCTTTTATGGAAACCTCTACTTGCAGGGATAAGGTTGTGTACATTTTACCCTCCCAGATCTTACTGGATGGGAGACCAATTTTGAGGAGGGAGAGAACATTTTGTAAAAAGTGGGACAACAATAATTCTAATATTTTATATCGTCGTTTTCAGAGAGTTCTCAGTGACTGGACCGCAACATTCTTTACAATTTTCAAATTGGTGCCGCACCAGCTTGGCGAGTTCAATTCGAAAGCGTCTATGTTGAAGCTGGATAGGTTGGTATCGATAGATGAATATTTAGATGGGTATTTGATGGAAAGAAGAAATAGATATGGGAAGAAGATGGAGGTGCTTGAGCTTGGAATGCAAGAAATAAGAACATATTTTAGGCTCTTTTTATTATCTTCAGTGTTATTAATGTTCATGTTCTGTTCTAGAATTTCAAAAAGTAAGTGTACTAGACCAATTGTTTCTGCCATTCCCCTCTAAAACTAGGTCGTAGGTGAAATTGTATATCCAATTTTGAGAAAAAAAAATGAAGTTATAAATTGTTGTCTGTATTACTACGTATACTACGTAACACGGGCCTTTCCATTCAGGCTATATAATCTAATTCTTCATCGTGCCCAAACTCGGCGACTGGTTGTGTTGTAAACGATGTAAATGGGTGTTTGTTTTACCTGGATTGGACTTTTCAAGTCACGAACGTGAATCATTCTCACTATGTTTAGAAATATGCATCTAGCGGCACATGACGCTCATAACTCGGGAGCCATAAAATATAGCTTCCGCATTTTTTCTTAACATTAACGTGAAAATTAGTGCAAACATTCATAAATGATGTGTTAAGCCATAACATATAGCTTCCGCATTTTTTCTTGACATTAACGTGAAAATTAGTGTAAACATTCATAAATGATGTGTTACCAAACACGTACTAAACATTGGATTCACGTTCAAGGAGATTTAACTGGGATTCAAACACGAGGCTTTACATGATAGCAAGGTCTTTGCCTTCAATTGATAAGTAAAATAAATAGATAACTACTTATTCATCAAATTTCGGATGAATAATAGCACGGCTCAGTCCTCTATGAAACTTACCGCGATGTAAAACAACAGTGGGGATGCAAATGAAATGCATAACCACTCACACTCTTCCTTTTTTCTTATTCTAATGTACACACACATTTATGAACATGAAATATGCATTTCAACATATAAATTTTACTTACATTAATGTATGATACATAAATCCCAAAGATTGATATGATATGTATGGTCCAGCATTACGGGAAGCCATTAATTTTCTATGCCTTCCATGTTTGGAGCATGTGCTTGGAGCATAAATATCCAGCATGGCACACTGCCCAAACGCACTGCTGTGAAGGGGTTATGCTAGTCTACAACAGGAATCAGGATTTTACTAATACATTAACCTGAAAGATTAAAAAGTTCATCATAAATTAAACCTTCCAAATAAGTACAGTAAAACAAACATGGCAGACTCCAAAATTGTTTATATCAATCAACATACGACTACCACTCATTACAACAACGACAATATTAATATGTTTTGCCCGAGATAACCAGTTTAAATTTCATATTGAAGGACAAACAGACAAATGCATCTTCTTCAATGGAAGGCAAAGTAATAAAAGAGCCAATTTCAGACCAATTTTGCTTATAATGCAGACCAATTTCATGGTTCAGCACCAAATCCATAATGCAGTTACTAAGAAAATAATCATTTCAAAATCAAAAGTAAAAGCTTGAGTACACGCAATTTTAAGAAGAGGCTGCAAGTTACACTAACCTTCAGAATTATAACCAAGCAAATAAGGTGAGCAAATTTGATTCTGTTTTGTCTTTATGAAAGAATGTGCTTGATAATTTTCCTATGATTTCAGTGTCTGCTTCATGTATCTAAGAGCAGACCGCAGCATTGCTCTTGCTTTTCTATCAGGAGTGCACCCAGACGTGACCATTTCTTCATACACAGCTGGAACCTGTAACTCAGATAATGCAGCATAGTTTGTGTGATGAAGTTGATTGAACTTAAGTCACAAATAAACTAATAAACAGGCTAAACATCCTCACCAAGGTTGCTACTATTTTTCTTCCATGAAAATCACAATATCATCCACAATAGGGATAATGTGCAATGTGATGGTACTTATTTACTTCACCTCTCAAAAACATGGTAAAAAAAACTAGAACATATGTTGAAACTTTGTTATTTTCACTGATGTTTTTACTATGATCGCCATAGCTTAGGGACTGCAAATCAATATAGACAAGAACTACAGAAAAAGGTCACACTTGTAATTCTAAGAATGTAGTGCAGGCAAAAAAAAAAAAAAAAAATCCATGATAATTTCCTTTGATGAAGTGCAAGAGTGAAGGATCGTGAAAATATAGATGACAAACAGACTCTGATTGTGATAATATTATGTACCTTTTGGAACTTTTCAACACGAATCAAAGCTTTCATAAGTGTGGTATAAGTAACTACATCAGGTTCCATGTTCTGCAGTTAATATGAACAAATAGATTAGTACTTGACCAAAGACAACTTAGCATAATAAAAAGGGTATAGTCGTAAAAGAAGAAAAAAGAACGAAAGAAAAAAATGTGAAAAAAGCATACGTTTTCTTTCATGTACTGAAGCACAGCAAAGGCTTCAGCATCTCTTCTATCTTCACCGAATGCATTAATTAATGAATTGAGAGCTAATAGACTGGGTGTCAGACCCTCAGCTGTCATCAGCCTAAATGCGTTTACTGCTAGTTCAGACAAACCCTGTAAAAATTATGCAAGTATTAACAAATTCAGTACTTTCTCAATGACATATCATATCATATGAGTTCATAGCCAACACAATCAGCATATTGGTATGTACAGACCAGCAATGTTTACATTAGCCAGCAGTCAAGCATTGAATTATTTGTAGTGATTGTTACTCATTGATAGACATACCCTTTGTGCATAGGCATTGATCAAAGCATTATACATGGTTGAAGTCGGCTTGAACCCCGTAGATTTCAAGACCTCCAAGCACTCGATTGCATCGCTAAATCTCCCCGACTTTCCATACACATCAACCAGAGTTGTGTAAGTTATCGAATTGGGCAGCAACCCCTGACTCTGCATCTTGCTCAACAACTCAGTCACTTGGTCCCACCTTTGCTGCTCCCCCATGGAATTAATCATAATGTTATAAGTAGCAATGCAAGGCGAGCATCCCCTCTGCTGCATCTCCCGGAACAACTCCTCCGCCCTGTTGTGCAGCCCGGACTTACAATGACAGGCAATCAGAGTGTTCCAGGTGACAGTATCCGGCCGAATCCCCTCCGACAACATCCTCTTGAACGTAGCCATGGCGTGATCAAGACAATTGAACTTCCCAAACGTGTCAATCATCACATTGTAGAAATGCCTATCAGGCTGCACGCCACTGCTCTTCATCTCCTTCAGAACCTGAAACGATTTCTGCCACTCCCCTTTGTCGCGATAACTCGCCAAAATTCTACTAAAGACATAGGAATTCGGCTGCACATTGCTCGCTTCCATCTCCTTCAACACAATCCTCGCACTCTCCCACCTCCCAGCATGAGCATACGCATCAATCAACAAACTATAAGTTTGTTCATCAGGCATGACCCCTGCTTTCTCCATTTCCGACACAACAAACTCAGCATCCCGGAGCGAGCCAGTTTTCACGTAGCCTTTAAGCAAAGCATTGAAAGCCCTAGTTCTCGGTTCTGACCGATTCTCCCTAATCTCCTCAAACAACGCTTCAGCCTCTTGCGTCCTTCCCGAATTCCCAAGCGCTAGCATAACCGCGACGAGCGTGGACGGCTTAGGGTTCAAGCCGCTGCTCTGCGCCATGGCGAGGAAACTCATGGCGCGCGTGGCGTCACCGGCTTTGGAAAACCCTAGAATGAGGTCGTTCATGAGGTGGCCGTCGATTTCGATCTTATCGGCCTGGATTTCGGCGTAGAGCTTCTGCAGAATGGGAGAGTCGACGCGGTTGGAGCGCGTGAGGTACTGGATGATGGAGCTGTAGTTGACGAAGTCCGGTTGGTAACCGTCGCGGCGCATTTTGGACATGAGATTGAGGGCTTTGTCGACGTCACCGTTGCGCGCGCAGGCGCCGATGAGCGCGTTGTAGGTGAGGGGAGTGAGGACCTGGCGCTGGGAGAGGAGGAAGGCTTCGTAGAGCTTCTCGGAGCGGCCGAGGGCGTTGATGAGGATGGAGTAGAGGAGCTCGTAGGAGAAGCAGAGGTTGTGTTTCTGCAGCCATGAAACGACGGCGTACGCGAGGGGGATCGAGGAGGGGGAGGCGCAGAGGGACTTCAGGAGCGCGTGCCAGAGTGGGGCCGGGACGGCGCGGAAGGACTCGGCGAGTTCGAACTCTGCTGAGTCGAGGGAAGTGGGAGGGGCCGAGCTGGGGGCGGAGTGGGGAGTGGCTGGGTCCGAGAGGAAGTGGAGGAGAGGGCTGAAGTCGTAGCGGCGGTTGTGCAGCGTGAGGATGTCGTCGGGGCCTTCTTCCAGGATCAGTGGCTTGGCGGAGGTGAAGGTCGCGTGGTGGGGGAGGACTCGGTGGTGGTGGTGGTGTTGGTGGTGGTGGAGGGTGGTGACGTGGATGGAAGGGAATGGAGCTGTTAGTTGTGGTGGTAACACCAACATGTTATGATGAATAGCAGTGGAGTGGATATGGAGAGAGCAATCCCATTCGCATTTGCTCCCCGATAATAGACGTCAGGTCCAGGATAAGGTGACGTGGTTAGGACTTGCAAATGTTTTGAGAAATCTTCTCCTTCCTTTCTTTACCGAATACATTTTAATTTAAAAAGTGTTAAGTTTTGTGAGTCCTTCAACAGCTTAAATACTTCTCTCTATCAAATTACTTGAGAATCTGTTACCACATAATGATTTATTTAATATAATGAAAATCATAAAGGATATCTATGGTTTCACCATTTTTTTTCTCTCATAGAAAATAAAAAATAAGTATTAAAATGTGTGTTTACTTTTAAGTTTAGAAAATATTTTCTTTGAAAATGTTTTCAAAAAGAAGCCCAAAATTGAAAATAAAAACTGTTTTCTATACTTTTGAAAACGTGATAACATGTGATAGTAATTATTAAAACTTTTTACGAACTAAGCTTACAATCTTGCACACATGATTCAATAGACTTAATTTTTGTCTTATAAATGTATTTCAATTGATTTGTTTTATATTTTCTTTTTGTGTCGAGAAATTTTATTTGATGTTTGCATACATATTGTAAGATTTATTATATATAATTATCCTATAGAATTTTAATTACATATGTTGTTTATATTATTTAATTATTTTAATTAAATATAATTAATATTTAGTGTGATTAAATTTTGGTTGTTAGACTTTAAGATAAGTAGTACTCTCTCTGTTTTTTTCATAGTCGTTTAAGGTTTTGTACAAGACTTAAAGAAATCATTGATATTTTAGTTTTCAAAAATATTTATTACTTACTTTCTTATTTTACCCTTTTTTTTTTTTGCATTTTTGAGACTGTTGAACTACACAATCTACTCCATTAATTATTAGTGCATTGATTACACGTGAACTGTAACTTACTGTATTTAATTATACTTGTCCATGAATTAATGGTTATAGTTAAAGAGTCTTGTAAATAGTTGTCCATTTTTTTTATTTTTTTATAGTATTTTGTTGGGAACATATTATTCTTATAAATGCACATTAAGTTTATATGGGTAGTTGGAGAAAAAATAGGTAGACATTAAAAATAAATACACACATTGTTCAGTAAATATGTATTAATTATCAAGGGTAAAAATAGAGAAAAAATAATAATAAGTCATTGATTTTAGTAAAATGACAATTAAAAAAAATAACAAATTCTGACAAAACAACTATGAAAAAAAAAACAGAGGGAGTATCAATTATATACATGCGCGCGGACACACACATATATATATACATATTGTTATACAATTATTATTTGTTAGTTAATAAATTATTCATTTGATACAAAAAAAATAATATAAGAGACATTTGCACATTTTTAAGAGTGAAACTCACCTATTATGAGATGAGAATATTCAAATGAAAATAAATATAAGAGTGGAAAGAATGAAATATTTACAAAATAAAATAATTCATATACAGAGAATAATTTTGAATATAAATTTTATAATATGAACTTGTATTAGAAAAAAGTCAAATCAAACATGTTTTCTAAATTTTTAAAATTAAAAAATGAAATTATTTTTTGAAAATAAAAATAAAATTATTTTCTGAAACCAAACTCACCCTTAGTAGCACTTGTTAATTTATTACTTTTTTACAAACCTACGTAAGAGCAATGGTCGAATCATCAATCATTGCTTCCTAATAATGCACACACAATTTGTCAGCTATGACCATTCGAAACACAGCTATAACCATTCGAAACACAGCTATAAAGTGGTAAATGGTATGGTATTTCGAATTATTACCACCGATTTCACAAAACTTATTTTGCACCAAAACCAAAGTACTGGATACAGTAAATAGGACCTTCAAGCAAATCTTCCTCAAACTAGTAGATGAGAGTCTCTGACAAAACTCTGACTTTTATCTCCCTATAACAATCCCTCTAAATCACCCAACTTTCACACAACTCCCTCTATATATAGGGGTCTAACACTTTCCAGCATAGGTAAACCATGTCCTTGCAATCAAAGGATAGGTCTGCATACTCCTCCGTCAAAACATTCCATTTGAATGATTCCTGCATGTCTATGGTTAAAGGGCATAGCAAAAGAACCCTCTTATTTGTGTAAAGATTTAAGATTTAGGGTATATACAAGATATTTTATTTCTTAACATTTATTTCTTTTGATGTCAAAAAAAATTATGTGTAAAGCGTTTGATGTAATTCCTATTAAAGACACAGAACAACATCAATTTTAACCTCAAAAATATGTTTCTCATAGGTTCGCATTATTCTTTAGAGCACATTATCTTTACATTATCTCAATTAATTTCACTTCATGTTAGCTTGTCTATTTCAATTTTAATCTTTCAACATCATCTTGTTCTTAAAGCGATGATGGCCAACTATCAAACTCAAGTTTTAGTTGTTATCTTATTTCTATTTAACTTTATGTATTTATAATTTTCTAGTCAACTTCAATTAGAAATCAGCCATGAACTATAGAAGTATATATAACTTTTTTATTTCTAACTACACTCATACCACAACTAGATAATACATTTCATAAACTTTTTTGGTGAAGAAATGTTTCATAAACTTGAATAGACATTTCATAGACTTTAATGCACAATTCAAACAACTCACTGGGTTAAACGGTACATGTATTTGAGTTATTGCTTTCGTATCTACAAGTAATGAAACATGCAAGAGTACTAGTCCATTGATATGTTATAGAATATAAATATAATTGTGTTACATAATTATGTAGAAAAAAGTTAGACACTCACCTACATATTCACTTATTCTTGAATCATTTGTACCACATCACCTATGGCTAAAGTGGTCCTTTCAAATTCTTCTTTCACTAATCTCGTTACTTTATACAAGTGTTATCAAACAAGTATAACCATATTCATTCAAATGTCTAGTAATAGTCTCCAAATACATATGTATTTAGAAGTTACAACTAGACATTTAGATGAATATGGAGATTGTGACACTCTCTACCCTGCATACCATAACACATAAATAACAAAATTTGAAGAACATAATCTTTCATAATTAAAATATCAAACGTGTTCAGATAGAGAGTATCACATTCATGACTTAAACAAATAACATAATCAACAGAAATTACAAAAAAAATAATGGTAAGGTTTTCAAAATAATTTAATAAGAACAACATCCTAATCTAATCCTATCTATGTCTCGATGTCACATGTCCTACCAGAGCAAGGCCCAACATTAAAGCCTAAGCTTCATCACCAACATCCTCAGTCTCATGTTGATGATCACCTGTATAACAATCAAAGGAAAACAACACAAAAGAAACGGGAGTAAGAAACATCTCACTCTGGCTCACGGTGTAGGAATACACACCGGATAGTCAAACACAAACAAGACATGTATATGTACATAGCATAGATAGATTAACAACAATATCACATCTCACTCACCAAAGACATAAAAATCAATTTAACATATAACATTAAAATACACATGTAATGGACATGGACTACATATTATCATGCATGTGGCGCCAATAACACATCACATGGTGTATTGCCGCTAGCAACACATGTAGAGTAGTGTAGGAGCACATGCCGGGTCACACCCTCTATGCACTCTCACTAAAAGGACATACTACCAGGGTTTAGTCGGGATAGCTAAGCCGTGTAAGATACATCCCATGCACATAATGAGCAAGACTGGGACTTACAAATTGAGTTATCCCCAAGGACTAATCCCCAAGATTTTACACAAAGGGGTCTTCCCTAGCGGTGTATTTCATATCGTACCCTTTAACATTTATGCAAATGATGCATGTAATTCAAGATTCTATGCATTCTCATATCACATTATCATGTCTCATTATCATATAATATTATCATGTCTCATTATCATATAACATTATCATGTCTCATTATCATATAACATTATCATGTCTCATTATCATATCGTTATGCCGTATCAAAATGTCTCACATCACATACTCATCAACTATATTCATTAGAGGGTAACATTGAGTAACGCAAAAGATTTACATCATTGCATATCATAGATCTCTTCATACAATCGGTAAAAATATTATAATTTATACAATAAATATTTAAAATAATACAATTTACTCATATAATTACCTCTTCAAACAATCTCATCTTACAACCACCAATGCATTCCCTTAGAATTTCCCATAGGAACCCATAAAGATCTCAAATCATACAATTAATTACATATAAGAAGAACAATAGATGAAACAAATACAATTGGGAAAAACCCCTCATACATGAGTATACAACAAACATAGGATTAGGGGTTAATCCCACTACCCAACATACATTCTCACACCTAGAGCGAGGTTTCTCACTCCCCCTTACCTTGATAAGCAGGAGATGAAACTAGAACAGCATCTTGCTAGTCTCCTCCTCTTGGTTCTCCTTAGTCTTCAGAGAGCGTAGAAGAAAAAGAAGTCAAAAGCGAAAAAAATGCTTTTGGCAGTGCCAGAGTGTGCTATTTATAAACGTCAAAAGTGGCCAGAATGGCCCGTTCTGGATTCATTCATCTTGTTTAAAATTCACATCTAGAACGACCTGTTCTTAAACCAGAACGGCCCGTTATGGAGTTGAGTTTAACTCATAACGGTTATGTTTGGAATGACATGTTCCCAAAGTAGAACGACTCGTTCTGGTTTCGAATATTACTCATAACAATCTATGTTGGAACAACCCGTTCCAACCTAGGGTTTATAGACCTTTTTAGTAGTTTGAAACGGTCCATTCCAGATTGGGAGCGGCCCGTTCTGGGCCACTAAATCACCCTTATTGGGTTATGAGTCTTCATATAATTTGTGAAAATCGGGGTGTTATAGAGATGTTGTTTGAGAACATTTATCTTGATGATTACTCTAATTGGAATAGCAAGTTTCACAAGACCACTACAATTGTCCTGACATAGAGGCAACGTTAAAATAGGTTTTAGAAATTATGGAAAGAGTTGATTCTTCAACAAATTCCAAATTTTGTACAACTTCTTCTCCCCCATTATTTTACATATTTTGTCACTATATTTACCCCTCTATATTTGTATATATATAACTAACTTCAAATAGCATATCAAGATTAAATTTAGTTATTATCGTTTATTAATAGCAACAAATAATATGGTGTAAAAAATGGTAACATATATAAATTAATTGTAATATAGAAGAGTTTATAAATTTCAAAAATCTAATATGTCAATGTCATACCTATTATTCAAGCTTTATATATTATAAATAGAGTAATAGATATTTATATCAGTTAGGTTAACATTTTTTAATATTTTTTTGTTATAAACGATTTATAAATGAGAGCAATAAAAGAAAAAATCCAATGAAAAAACATGTAATAAATGAAGTTCTTCAACTTTTTCAACATTATGTTGACAAATTTTTTATTTTTATTTCAAATCCTCTAGTTAAATCTATGCATAATTTCTTTGGCTATTGATACATGAAAAGTTCGGAAAAGCATCAATGGAAGATTTCTTAATATAATTAACTCACTTGTTTCTTTGTGAAAAAATTTAAAACCGTAAATCGTTAAGATACTTAAACAAAATAGTTTTAATATATCATTGTTTATCTTTTTTAAGAATGATTATTGGCAAGTATATTATAAAGAGTATAATATAATTTCTAAATATTTTCGTAGTATGTATAATTTTAAATATATTTTCAACCCAAATTAAACAAGATCATCCTATTCTTGCATACAAATGAAAAAAGATCAAGTAAAACTTCTTAAAATTCTATCATTATAGAAAAACAAATTATTACCAGCTAACTCTTCTTAAATCAAGAAAGGAAAAAAAGAAAAAAAAAATTGGGACACAAAAAAACAAAAGTAATTCAAGAAAATTCTTACATTTAATTCAAAAGATAAAGTAAAAATCATTAAAATTTTACCATTAAAGATAAAACATATTATTAGGATATAACTTTTGTTAATTCAAGAAAAAAAAGTTTGGGACACGAAGAAACATAAGAAAATCAAGAAAAGAAATCAATTCAATTGAAAAGAAAAGATTTTGATATTCAATTCAATCTAGCAAAAATAAATTAAGCAATGGAGAAATAAGTTAAATTAGAAAAGAATTTAGGAGAAAGAAAAACATACTGATTGTATTTGAGTATAATATAATTTCTAAACATTTGTATCATCATCTATGGCTAAAGTGGTCCTTCCAATTCCTTTTTTCACTGATCTTGTTACTTTAGACAAGTGTTCTCAAACAAGTATTACCATATTCATTCAAATGTCTAGTAGTAGTCTCCAAATACATATGTATTCAGAAGCTACAACTAGACATTAAGATGAATATGGAGATGTTGTTTGAGAACATTTATCTTGATGATTACTCTAATTGGAATAGCAAATTTCAGATGACTAATACATTTGTTCTAACACAGAGGCAATGTTCAAGTAGGTTTTAGAAATTACGGAAAGAGTTGATTCTTCAACAAACTCCTAATTTTATACAACTTCTTCTCCCCCATTATTTTACATATTTCGTCACTTTATTTACCCCTCTATATTTGCATATATATAACTAACTTCAAATAGTATATCAAGATTAAATTTAGTTATGATCGTTTATTAACAGCAACAAATAATATGATGTAAAAAATGGTAACATATATAAATTGATTGTAATATAGAAGAGTTTATAAATTTCAAAAATCTAATATGTCAATGTCATACTCATTATTCAAGCTTTATATATTATAAAAAGAGTAATAGAGATTTATATCAATTAAGCCAATAGTTTTTTTTATAATTTTTTTGTTAAAAACAATTTATAAATGAGAGCAACAAGAGAAAAAATTCAATGCAAAAAACATGTAATAAATAAAGTTCTTCAACTTTTTCAACATTATATTGACACAATTTTATATTTTTATTTCACATCCTCTGGTTAAATCTATGCATAATTTATTTGACTACTAATACATGGAAAATTCGGAAAAGCATCAATGGAAGATTTCTTAATATAATTAACTCACTTGTTTCTTTGTGAAGAAATTTAAAACCGTAAATCGTTAAGATACAAAAACAAAATAGTTTTAATATATCATTGTTTATCTTTTTTAAGAATGATTATTGGCAAGTATATTATAAAGAGTATAATATAATTTCTAAATATTTTTGTAGTATGTATAATTTTAAATATATTTTCAACTCAAACAAGATCTTCCTATTCTTGCATACAAATGAAAAAAGATCAAGTAAAAATTCTTAAAATTCTATCATTATAGAAAAATAAATTATTATCAGCTAACTCTTCTTAAATCAAGAAAAGAAAAAAGAAAGAAAGAAAAATTGGGACGCAAAAAATCAAAAGAAAATCAAGAAAGGAAATTGATTCAATTGAAAAAAAAAATTCTTACATTCAATTTGAAAGATCGAGTAAAATTTGTTAAAATTCTATCATTAAAGAGAAAACTTATTATTAGGATATAGCTTTTGTTAAATCAAGAAAAGAAAAAACAATTTGGGATACGAAGAAACAAAAGAAAATCAAGAAAAGAAATCAATTCAATTGAAAAGAAAAGATTTTGAGATTCAATTCAATCTAGCAAAAATAAATTAAGCAATGGAGAAATAAGTTAAATTAGCAAAGAATTTAGGAAAAAGAAAAACATACCGATTGCATTTGAGTATAATATAATTTCTAAACATTTGTACCATCACCTATGGCAAAAGTGGTCCTTCCAATTCCTTCTTTCACTGATCTAGTTACTTTAGACAAATGTTCTCAAAAAAGTATCACCATATTCATTCAAATGTCTAGTAGTAGTCTCCAAATACATATGTATTCAGAAGCTACAACTAGACATTTAGATAAATATGGAGATGTTGTTTGAGAACATTTATCTTGATGATTACTCTAATTGGAACAGCAAGTTTCAGAAGACCAATATAGTTGTCCTGACATAGAGGCAACATTCAAGTAGGATTTAGAAATTATGGAAAGAGTTGATTCTTCAACAAACTCCTAATTTTATACGACTTCTTCTCTCCCATTACTTTACATATTTTGTCACTTCATTTACCTCTATATATATATATATATGACAAATTTCAAATAGCATATATCAAGATTAAATTTAGTAGTTATTGTTTATTAACAGCAACGAAAAATATGGTATAAAAAAATAGCGACATATATAAATTAATTGTAATATAGAACCGTTTATAAATTTTAGCCAATGTTATACCCATTATTCAAGTTTTATATATTATAAAGAGAGTAATTGATATTTATATCAATTAGGTCAACATTTTTTAATGTTTTTTTTTATATTATAAATGATTTATAAATTGGAGCAATAATAGAAAAAATCCAATGAAAAATTGATTAATAAATGAAGTTCTTAACTTTTTCAACATAAAATGTTGATACAATTTTATATCTTTTATTTCACATCCTCTGATTAAATCTATGCATAATTTCTCTTACCACTAATACATGGAAAGTTCATGTAAGTATTAATAGAAGATTTCTTAATATAATAAACTAATTTGTTTCTTTGTGAAAAAAATTTAAACCATAAATTGTTAAGATACTAAAACAAAACAGTTTTAATATATCATTGCTTATCTTTTTTAAGAATGATTATTAGCAATTATATTCTAAAGAGTATAATATAATTTCTAAACATTTTTGTAGTATGTATAATTTTAAATATATTTTCAATTCAAACAAGCTCATCGTATTCTTTCATACAAATGAAAAATATCAAGTAAAAGTATTTGAAATTCTCTTGTTACAGAAAGATAAATTATTACCAGCTAACTTTTCTTAAATCAAGAAAAGAGAAAAAGCAAAGAAAAGAAAAGAAAAAAATTAGGATGCAAAGAAACAAAAGAAAATCAAGAAAAGAAATTGATTCAATTGGAAATAAAACTTTTGATATTTAATTCAAAAGATAAGTAAAAATCGTTAAAATTTTATCGGTAAAGAGAAAACATATTATTAGGATATAGCTTCTATTAAATCAAGAAAAGAAAAAACGATTTGGGACATGAAGAAACAAAATAAAATCAAGAAAAGAAATCAATTCAATTGAAAAGAAAAGATTTTGACATTCAATTCAATCTAGCAAAAATAAATTAAGCAATGAAGAAATAAGTTAAATTAACAAAGAATCTAGGAGAAAGAAAAACATACCGATTGAAGAAAAATGACTCGAATTGGAGGGATGAGTTGAAAGTGCAAGACAGACGAATAGCAACTCAAGAAAATAAAAGATTGATTATCCCAAACATATAATCTCATCTCTCAACTTTGTTAGTATTTTCAAATGAATTTTATTATGAAAGCTTGTATTATTTATAAACACATGTTCAACCGAATAGAGTAATTTAATTTAAATTTAATGAGTAAATATTAAAAATTGTAGTATTTTTTTCTTAGATATTTTATTATTATTTATAATAAAACAATGTAAATATATTAACAATATTATTAGTAATTATTAAATATATGTTGTTTTTTTAGAAAATAAGAACATATTTTAATCATATATGGATTAGTAAT